TCAAAACGTTCTGTTGGATTTTTGTTTAATTTTGAATAACTTTTGTCATTTAAAAGTTCATTAATTTTTTGATCATAGATATTATAATCCATAATTACGGTCGCATTACAATTACATTTTATTACACTATTTAACAATCTGCAATAAAAGACGTGAGGAAATTCTGTCTTTTTTAAAGACAAACATTTTTGAGGCGAAATACCCAAAAAGAAGTTTGTAAAAAATAAAAAATACTGATTTCTTGCGTAGGTTTTCGGGCCAAACTGGCAAAGTTTCCCGAAACAGCGGCGTTAACGGCATTTGCGAAATGAATAATCAACATCCAGTTAACAATAATTTTGCAAATTGCTCTTTTAAATGATGATTAATTGGTTTGGTAAAGCGAACTGGTGCCGGGTGAAAAAATACATACAGATCGCCTTTAAACAAGTTCCCCAAGTGCAAAAGTATGTGTGCAAAAGTTCAATGTCGCCGCTCGCGCCGTGTTTATTTGTTTATGCTAATATTCACCAATTTACCCAACAAATTCATCAGAATTCCCCCGCAAGTGAGTGCGGATTAGATTTAATCCTCTGGGAGTTTAAAGCGCACTTAATTAAAATAGTCATTCCACTGATAAGAGATTAGATGAAAAAAACCGTTGATGGTTTACCCGAAATTTTCTGGGCTCAATCAGTCTCTCGTACGCTCAAAAAATATTCAAAAAGACTCCATTCGCATAGAAGAAGCCGCTTTTGCACGCGTCGCTCTATGGTTAAATCATTATCGCAAAGCGAATTATATTTACGTCTATTTATAATCGTGGTTATCGGTTACTGGATGGAAGTTTGAACATAAAATACAATGAATGCTCAAAGCGCGCTTATTGAAAGGAATGCTCTGCCACACATTGTTAACAGATTAGATTTCACACAATTGCGCAGGCACTTAGAAAATTTTTGATTTTGGAACCAACTACTACTAGCATGAATTATCAATCAAGAAGCTAAATTGTCCATAATCTGAATGTGCACGCTTCATTGGCTGTCGCTTTAGCAAACTTGATCTTGATGATGAAAAAGTTAACAAATAATTTACTCTCGCTGGATTTTGAAAGTACATTTTCTAGGAATTTGTTCCAGTGGCTTGATTGACTACATCACTACAAGAACGATTCGTTGCCGATTTCACCGGGCTTTTCAATCATTGTTTTTCAATGTATTATTGAATTGAATGAGCGGCGAGTTTATTGTGTATGCTTGCGCCAGAAAAATTGCATTGATGAATATAAATGTATTTAGCCTCTAGTTGGGGCACTTGATGGAACTCAATGGAAGCCAGTTTGCGATTTTAAGTAGGAAATATATACAAAAGACCTGCTCTTTACTTAGTTAAGTCGCTGATTGAGCCCATGATAGGATGGTCTTTTCATAAGAATTAATAAATTACTTTTAGGAATAACGCGATTATTTGGTTGATTTATATGCTCGATTTTACGTCACAAAGTATTAGATAAATATTTATAAAACGTTGAAAAGATCCTCAAATGACGTCCAAAAATTACACTTTCTCAAAAAAACCGGTGGTGCATCGCCATCTCTGAATGAGAATGCTGGCAAGTGTGTGAAAACTTTCTGTTTCTCTGATTTTTTTAAGCTATTTAAACAGACTGGTAATACAGGTGGGCGCAGTTCAGTTAAAATTAGAAACCTCCAAAATCCAAAATAAATCTGGCTTGCGACTGATTTCTTTGTTTGGAGCAAAAATGCGCATTTACGTTCGTCGCTCGCAGGTTAATTGGCTATTAACATTTGCGGTTTTATTCCGTAACACTAGTCTATAGTTTTCTGTAAATTTTGACATGTTTTCATTTCAGAAAATTTGCAACATAATCAGACCAAAACCTGGTTATAAATGCATATTTGTGACCTTCTTGCGTCAAAAGGAATCGATTGAGCTCAAAAAACACGCATGTGAAATTTTGATTTTTGGTCGAAATTTTGTATCATTTTTAGCTCACGGACGCGAAGAATGCATCGAACTCATTAAAAAACATGCTAGAAGTTTCAGATGCGAAATAATA